GGGAGGGAGGAGGGAGGGAGACAGGGGTGGAGGCAGAGAGGGAGGGAGGCAGGGGTGGAGGCAGGGAGGGAGGAAAGTGGCCCCTCACCCACTTTCCTACGGGCAAAACCTTTCTGTGGGCTGTTTCCAGCCACACCCGTGGCCCTGTACGAATCCGGCCGCCGACCTGGTCCCGCCTACTCCCCACACGTGCTCTGCCCTTCCCTGTCCCTTCCCTGTCATCATGCTGCATCGTCTTTCTGGCCGATCAAAATCAGCAGTGTATTTTCTTCTTCTTGCTTTTCTACATTCACAATTCTTTGTGCAATGGCGTGGACTGAACACATGCATCCATCCATTCTCCAGAGGCTGTTTCTAACGCCACCTCTCTCAGGAAGCCTGCCCTGCTTTCCCCAATCTCCCACTTAGCCCTGTGCATTAGCTGGTCTCAAAAGGTGGCCCCTAGGGAGCCAGGCATCCCACATTCACACCTTTACATGGTCCCTTCCCCGTGAGTCAAGGTGGATCCCACCACTACTTACGACCCACAGAACGCAGTGCAAAGGTCACTGCGACCCCCAAGGCTGGGTCATAAGAAGGCCTGCAGCTCCCCCTGGGTGTCCAGACTAGCCACGGAGAGCAGCCACGTGGACAGAGAGCGAGTGAGCCCAGCCGAGGAACAAGAGCTCACGTGAGTACAGAAGCCACATCGAACTGCAGCCTAGGGGGCCTGCAGACGACCCCAGATGGCCACCTGGCTGCGAGTCATGGGGACACGTGACAACATCAGCAGAGCCCCAGCAACCCACAGGACCACCAGAGATGGAATGATAAATTATTATTTTTGGCTGCTAAATTTGGAGGCATTTCTCACAGAGATAATCCAAATACACCGATTGTATCCTGACCGGGATCGGAAGTCGGGAGACCAGGCCTGATTCACCGCAGAGATAAGTGGACGCAGGGAGGGAGCGGGGAGCTGGGGTCCACGAGTGGCAGGGCGCTTCCGGGGGGCCCTGAGTCACAGAGACCAGGACTCCCCAGCTCCCGGCCCAGACAACACGTGGCCATCTCCCCAGGCTGCAGGCTCCTGCCCCCAAAGGCAGGACACCTCCCTCTCAGGCAGGGAACACTCACCGGACAACGTCCACTGCCCCCGGCCGGACCTTGGGGTCACTTCCCATGATGGACACGCTGGCGGCGAAGGACCCGTCGATGCTGAACACCACGCACTCCATGCCCCGGGGCAGCACCGTGAGGTAACTCATCGCAAAGGTCTGGTCGCCCCTAGAAGGCATCTGCCTGTGGTCAGCCGTGCATCCGGGTCAGGTGTTGGCCTGAGGCCAGAGGTCAGCCTGCAGCTGGGGCCAGAGCTCGTGGGGGCCAGGGTCACAGAGAAGCTGGCTGGGCCTCCCAGTGCCAGGCCGGCGACCCTGTCCATCTCCGTCTCTCCCCACGGACAGGGACGGGCCCGCGGGAAAGCACAGCCCGCAGGGCCGTGCGAACGTGCCCGGCGCCTCACCTGACAACCATCTTCACCGGGTAGACGCCAACCCCCAGCCGCCGGGGCCGCGGCACGCTGTACGTGATCCGGCCACTACTGCTGGTGATCTCCGTGTCCAGGTGCACCCAGCGGCCCGAGGACGGCTCTGCCATCACCAGGATGTCCACCTGCGTGCGGCGGGGGCGGGGGCTCCCTGAAGGCGGGGGCTGCGGCGCGGCCGAGGGGCCAGGCCAGGGAGCTCTCCGCCCGGCGCCCCTCCCGCCTCTCAGACACGCCGAGCTCACGCCTTCCCCCAGCTCACCTCCGCGGCCTGCTCCGGGCTCCCACCACCCGGCCTGCCCCCCGCCTTCACAGCCCGCGAGGGACAGCGCGGACGCCGTACCTTCTCCCCGGTCAGGGCCACCATGTCGAGGGGCCCATACATGAAACGCCCCAGCAGGACCTGGGGGCCGTCTTCGGCCGCGATCACGTCGTTGGCCCGGTGGTTCGCAGTCACGTTCTGAAAGGACAGAAGCGGGCTCGGCCGGAGCTTGCTTCTTCCTGACACCGTCCCTAGGACGGCCGGAGGGATGTGTCCCTGCCGCATCATGCCTTCCCGGTAGACCTGAGCCGCGTTCCCGCGGGATCTGCGAGGAACACAGACCCGTGGACCCCAGCACAGTCTCCGAGGACAGACAAGCAGGCTCCGCTCCTGACCATCCCGCACGCCCCGAGGGAGCGGTCGGTCCCGACTGTCCTCCTTCCCGGGTCCTGGCTGGACGTGGCCGGGACGCCTCTGGGGCTCCCTTCCCGGCCCGGCTCACACCCCATAGCCATTTACTGGGAGAGCGGGATGTACCAGAGCGGAGGGAGCTGCGCAAGGACTCCATGTGGGCCCCCCACCAGGCACAGCCGCTCTGGCCCCCACCCCCACACTGCAGAGCATTCTGGACTGGGGTCATTTTGTCTGTAACTGTCCCGATGTCCCTGTCCTTCCAGTTCTGGTTTCCATTCATCCTGCAGTTCAGAGGCCCCCCCGACCGCCCACCACCCCCAGCCTTGCTCCCAGACCCGAATCCCTCAAGTCAGTGACCCTCCCCTTACAGGGCTCTCCCCACACCTGCCGGGGAAGCACCGTGAACTCGTGGCGCCCACGGATGACGTCCGGATCCTGAGCCGAGCCCGCATGACCTTCCAGTGCACGTCCCGCTGCTCCCCGTCCAGCCCGTGGCTCTGCCTCCGGGCCTGGGCTCACCCGGGCGCCCCGACTCCGCGTGACCCGAACGCCAGCCCACCCACCACCGCGGCCTGGCCCGGCCTCGCCCAGAAAGCACCCGCGGACTCCTCTCAACCCCCACGGTGTCTGCGTGCAACTCAGGCAATTCAGCTGCAGGCCCCTCACGGCACGAGTCCCTGGGCTGGGTGCCGGGCACGCAGGGACAAAGCAGTCAGACATGCTGACTTGCACACAGTCGGGGGGCAACACAGGCCCCCTACAAGAGCACTCGAGGGGGGACAGTGGACTCGTGCGAATAAACGCACAAGATGGGGAGCACAGAGCCACACCGCCAGGAGACCCGTCGCGCTTGCCGGGGCGGCCGGGCTCCTCACCCGTGCCCGCCCCCACAGGGTGCAGACTGGCGCAGCGGCCTTGGAGAAGCTTGCCGGCCCCTCCCACAGACAGACGAGCTTCCCGGCTGGGTCCACACCCCACAGAGCGAGAACACGTGTCCACGCAAAAGCCCGTTGCATCGCTCCAGGCCGCCGGCCAACGGTAAACGGGTGTGTCCTGGCGAGGCGAGACCGCTCGGCCACCCGCTCGGACGTGGGACGCCCCGTGAGAGAAGCCTAACGCGGAAGACAGCAGCTGCGTGACCCGTACACAGAGGGTCCACGGCGGGCGAATCCACGGAGAGTGGTGCTGGGGTGGCAGGGGGTGAGGGGCACGAGCCAGGGGTCTGCTCCTGAGGCCACGACCATGTTCCAGGACGGAGTGCAGTGATGTCTGCACACATTGCGACCACGCCGACATCCACTGAGCTGGGCACGTTTACACGTGGTATAAAACGTGGCTATAGCTCGAAACGTAAGTTTACCAAAACAGCTGATTCACGGAGCGCCGGTCACCTTCTGTCCTCGGGACTGTTCTTAGGGTCCAGGTCAGATGTTCCCACCAGGCCAGGGGCTGTGTCCCTAAGCCCCTACGCTGCTCCCCCCAGCAGAGGACACAGTGGCCACATCCACACTTGATGATGGTTGGCTCAGTAAAACATGCACTTATGCCTCCCAGACCCCTATTCCTGCTTCAACACCTTGCAGAGGTGACTCTCGCTCACGGAAGCCCTGCGTGGCCTGCCCTGAGCGTCCTTTTCTCGTCTTCCTCTCCCTCTGTCACGGCAAATGCCACAGCAGGCCACGCTCAGTGGTGAAGCAGATGGGGGGGCCCCACGGCTGTGGCCAGGACTCTGGCTCACGTCCACATCTGCGGAGGCCGGACCTCCAGCAACTGCTGCTGCCCAGCTAGTCCCCCCCGCAAGCCGACCCCAGTGCCCAGGCGCCCAGAACCCCGCTCCCGGTGGCCGCCAGGGAGCACGCACCCGCAGCTTGACCTGGGTCCTCTTACGGAGCCACTTCTCCCGGGGGTTGGCGGGGCTCAGCGCCGCGGGATCCAGGCCCGCGCTCTCCTTGACGGTCACGCTCTCGTAGCGCATCACCTGACGAACAGAGGAGCAGGGCTCCAGGTCAGCCCGGCTGCCCTGCTCCCTCCGCCCAGGCTGGCAGGCCAGGCCTCCCCACCTGCCAGCCTGGGACCCTCAGGGGGGCTGGGAGCCCCAGGACCCGACAGCTGGGCCCAGAGCACGGGGCTCTCGGACGCTCAGCTTCCGCCCGCTGCGCCCGAACCTCGCGGAGCCCGCTCTGTATCCCTTCTCTGCCCCGCTCCTTCCCTGAAGCCGGCCCCTCCCTCCTGCCCACTGCGGGCATTGCTCCCGCCGCACCCCCACCAACCCCCCCCTACTTGGTCCCTCCCTACCGGGGCATGCCCTCTAGCACCCAAACATGCTGCTCCCGTGCCCGTCCTGAGGATGTCTCCGTGCCTCTCAGAACCGTGGCATCTCTCCGTGGTCCCCCACAGCCACACGCCACGAAACACCCACCCCACCCATGCAAGGCTCCC